AAATAATAAGTAGTCAAAAAAAAAAGAAAAGTATATTTATCTGTATTGAAAAGCATTATGTGTTGTAAAGAGAAAACAAAAACAAAAACCAAAAACTATTGAAGATGTGTAAAATGTGTTCTTCATTCCCAATTATATCCAGGCGTATGTTTCCGACAATGAAACTAAGCGTTAGTGGATGTGATTCAGATGCACTGTATTATGTATTTCTTGATGTTGTTCCTGTGGATAATAAACGATATCGTTACATCTACAATAAATCGTCATGGTTAACAGCTGGTAAAGCCGAACCGACACCTCGTAATCGACTGTATATGCATCCAGATTCACCATTTACTGGCCAACAGGTTCTTCTTCTTCTTTTTTTTGCTGTTGCTGTTACTGTTGATGTTGTTCAGGTTTTAAGTTTTCAGAAGCATTTTTTTTTCCATCTGGTAATTTTTGAATAGTATAAATAAAAAAAATACAGGTGAAAAAGTTTGTTTTTTGGTATCAAACCAATTTACAGTGTTATTTGTGTTGTTTTAGCTGATCAAACAGGTTATCTCATTCGAAAAGGCTAAACTTACCAACAATGAAGTGGATAAAGCCGGTCATGTAAGTTTTTAATAACAACAGCAAAAAAAAGGGAATTTTTATGAAATCGTTGTACAGTTTTATTGCTGAAAATTATAAAAGAAAAATTTTTTTTCTTTTTTTATTTTTCAATTTTTGGTTTTGGATGTGATTTTTTTTTTTTGTTTGATTTTTGATTCTCTGATTTTTGCTATAGTTTTATGTGCGATAAACGTCAACTGGACAACTGCCTGTTTTACTATACCTAAAACATTCTTTCTACTCAATAAATAATTACTGGCAATTTTTATTGGTGTCATTTTTAAGATCACATAAAATGACGCCTTTTTTTTATAACATCTAAGAATAGTTTAAAAAAAGTTTTAACAGATTTTATATATTTTTTAATGATATTTTTTTGTTCTATTATTACCAATGTAAAGGCTAACACAGATAAAATCATTTGTTGTTGTTGTTGTTGACAAATATTATAATTATCGTCCGGGGAGTCAAAAGAAAACAAATTTTTTTTCTATTTTATTTTGATTAATTCTGAATCCAGTTTTTTTCTGGAAAAATCTGTAGAAAATGCAAATTTTTTTTTTTTGCAAATGTTAGGAATCTACTGTGTTAGGAACAATATTTTTTTTTCTAGTCATCAAGCTCAATTTATTGAAATTTGTTTACTGCTTGTTCTTTTTTCATATTTCTTTTCTTTGTTCAAAAAAGATGGAACAGGTTTTTGGTTAAGTTTTTGCTGTTAAACTGATACTTGAAAAAAAAAACAAGATAATACTTTTTAGCTGATACTAAATTCAATGCATAAATATCAGCCAAGAGTACATATTGTAAGACGACGACGTGATAAACCATTGGAACAGGTAAAAAATAAGAATTTTTTTCTACTATTACTTAAAACTTGCAAGAGGAAAAATCAAGTTTTGATTTGTTCTTTTCTACTTAGTTTGATATCAGATTTTTTGCTTTTTGTTTTTTCTTGACGATCTTGAATACTTAATTTTTCAGACAGTTTCGTTTGACCTACAAAATGAAGAATATAAAACGTTCCAGTTTCCGGAAACACAATTTATGGCTGTTACAGCATATCAGAATCAATTGATCACAAAGTTAAAGATTGAAAAAAATCCATTTGCTAAAGGTTTTCGTGATCCCAGTGGACGATCACCAGAATACGACGTGTAAGTTTCTTTTCCAGCCTTTTCCAGTTCTGTTCTTTTTTTTATTTTAATAACCCAAATACAGTATTCCAAATAAATTTTGTGCTGTTACTGTCGTCCAGTAAGTAATTTTGTAAGATATCAGTTAAATTAGTTAAAGATGATTATTTTTTCAGTGATTCTAGGCCTGATGCCGGTTCTTTGTTGGTACCATCAATCTATTCACCAGCTATATTACAACAGGCACTTTTCAATCAATGTAAGTTATCAAAACAACCGGATTTTTTGATTCTCGACATCACTGTGTTGCAGCAGCAGCAGTTGTTGTTGTTCAATTTTTCTTGAATTTTGATCTCTAAAAAAAATCTGTTTCATATATATTTTAAACTTTTTCCTTTTTTTGGTTTTTTTTTTTCAGATTGGATGAGTAAAATGCAACCACGATTAGGTTTTACACCAAATATGCTTTCACAAATGTTTTTTGGTCCTGGTGTAACACCACCACCACCACCGTCGTCATCCACTCGACCGCTGGACAGTGGCAATTTTACAGATGTTGAACAAAAATTATTTCCTCTTAATTCACCAAAAGATTAAGCATTAATTTTTTTTTTCTGTTTTGTTTTTTTTGTTGTTAAAAGTAATAATCTGATACTGTATTTTTATGTGTAAAAAAAGAAAAAAAAAAACAGAAAGTGGAATTGAATAAATTAAAATTTTTTAAAAATTAGAAATTTAACAAAAAATTATTATTACGAGAAAACCAAAAAAAAAAAGACAAGTGATTTTAGAGTAAAAAAAAAAGAAGGAAGAAGAAGAAGGAAAATTGCTTTTGTTTAAATATATTTTATACATTTCTGTCAGTTGTTCAGCTTTCAATTCTGTTCTCTTCAGTTCAATTTTTTTCTTGTATTTTTGTATTTTTACAAATGTTCAATCTTTGTTCAAACCTTTTGTTTCTATATTTTTTTTGTTTTTTGATTGAATTGTATTTGAATTTGTATTTTATATCTGTATCTGTATTTGTGCTATTAAAAAAAAAAAAAAAAAAAAA